CAAGCGAGTTCTCAATGATGATGTGCGCCAGTAGTGCAGGGGATGAGAAGGGATTGTGCCTGAAGGGGAAGCACAACGAATCAGAGAGATGGAGAGGATACTTTCTTTGACAAAAGGTCACGGGAATAGATCAAAAGCACTCCTAGAAAGACAGCCCTTGCAGTTTACAATACAAAAAGTTAACATGATTGTGTGGTCTACCTACCCTTGTGTGTGAGAGAGAAACTACTACCAGATTGCTGAGAAAGTCCTCCGTCTATGACACGGCTGCCATGGAAGGATTCGCCAAGTGCTGTCTCAATACGACACTATGGGAGCCCAGTTCGAGCCTGGATGAGGGGGGAGGGGAAAGGAGCCCAGAGGATGGGGCCAAAACTCGGACGAACTTCCCATCATTTTGCCTCGTAAATGATCACTGTGTCTAGGATACCTCGAAGCATAATCATCTTACTGCTTCCTGACGTACTTGACCTCCCCCTCCCCCTTCATCCCAAGCGGCGCAGACAACGCGTTGGCAAGAGCATCCATTGTACAGATTTCGGAAGCCAAGGTAGGCAATGGAGAAAGGCCAGCAGTAGGTAACAGCAGGCTCAGCTGAGGAAGAGGGGGTGAAGAAAACGGTAACCAGCACCAGGAAACCAAAAACCAAGCACGACGTTTGCTTCTCTTGCGACGACCGTCACCACCGTCACCGACCCGTCGCCAAGCTGCTGGAATCAGCCGGGCTGGGAAAACATGTTGTATGCGCATTGTGTATGCGACCCAATCAGCCGGCTGACGGACCCAGTGAATCTTGATTTTCCCCGCCTTTTCCAACGTCCACGTCCCTTTGAGAGGTTAGGTGGTTAGGTACAATGCCGTGTACGATGAACTGCCCGTATGGTTGTAGGTACCGTACCGTCATCTCCTGGCCTAGGTCGCCGCGGAAAGCCTGTTTGGGAATCCTGGGACGGGCGACGACGACCCGACCCCTCGGCAAGTGATTGTTGCTAACCACCTATCCTACGGCGGGCTGCTAGGGGGAGGGGATGAAAATGGGCGACTGGTTGAGGACTGAGGTAGAGCTACGTTACGACCAGCCAGCCAGCCCGTCAGCCCAGCCCTGTGTGCATCCCACGTCTCAGATTTCCAATCTCACAGCTAGCAAGAGTGATTCGTCGGCGTCTCTTTCCGCGGTATTCTCTTGTTGGGTGGAGGGTTTTCCGTGTGTCTGGTTTGCCTGTAGTCGGGGTGGGTACACGCCCCCTCCCTTCCCTTTCTCCCGGTGCCCCTCCTTGGATTCCTAGTCTTGGATAGTTAGTTGATTTCGCTGTTGATATTGTAGCGGCAGTAGCAGCATGTGGTGCTGTTGGCTTCCGTCAATACCACGCTGGGACGGCCGCGACCGCAATCGACTGGCGAGAAGAGACCATGCGCGATTATGCACGCGCTTCAAGGAGTCGGTCTGATGCGGGAAATATGAAATTCAGCAACGATCGATGGGAGCCCCTTCCCGGGTGTTGCGCGCGAGTTGGGCGATGGAACAGCGAAAGATGAAGCGGCGCTTCTTAGCTGCTGCACCGAGTGACCCCGTCATCCTCCTTTTTCATTCCACCTCAGCGGTCAGATTAGTATAGCGTCGCATGAGAGAGGGAAACAAGAATGCATGTGTTAAGGTGCTGTGGGCGACTAAAAAGGCCAGCTACCCCAGGACATCGGTCTTAGTCCATGACCGTCACATACTGCGAGATCGAGAGACGCGGGACCGAAGACTGATGACAGTCTTGGCAACGGGTATTTCCCCTTGCCCATCATGTCCGGGACTTTGCGCGGGCGGCGGCGGTGTGTGGATCGTTACCGCGTGCTTGTGTGCTGCTTTGCAGGTGCAGAACCATGTCCGCGACGGCGCGGAGACGTCATTCCTCCGGTGTTCTTGTGGCGAGCGTGAGCCGCGCCAAGTCGGTCTTGTTGTGCCTCGGGGCTTGCTGAGCCTGCTGCCAGCTGGTCCCCCCTCTCCCCATTGTCTTCCTTCTGACGGCAAACACGGATATACCGGGGTTTGACCCCCATCTGAGAATCCCGTTTGAGGATGGTAATGGTGACTGGATTCGGAGCCCACCTTTCGGAGGTGGAGAGTTGGTCGTCCCGTAGGTGGCTACAGCATTTCACACCGTCTCTCTGTCGGTCCGAAAACGGACACCCTTAATCGGGTCCGATGAGCCGGAGGGAAAGACGACTTGGAAGCTGGAGGGAAGGCTTGGGCGGTCCCAGGGGAAGAACCTGACATTGAGTCAAGCATTTGCCAAGACGGCGGTGGAAGCGGGTAGGTCGGCAGCAGGCAGGAGGAGGGAGGCCTGCTATGCGGGTTCCTCCTTCGCGCTGGGATATTCGAGATGCGCCGTAGTTTCTCGCTGGTTGGGTCAGACAATGCGTTGTCTTTTTCTCTCGCTCGTTCTTGGGAGTGGGGGGTTGTATAAGATGTGACCCAGCTGGACCTGATGGGCGGTGCTTAAGTCTCGGTCGGCATTAGCTCTTCTCTAATCTGGCGCGCGTGATGGTGGTGGTTGGTTTGGTAACTTTGGTCTTGTTAGTGGGATCCAAGGGACGCGTGGCATGGACGAATCGCAGAAGAGAGTGAGCGGTGGGGAGAAGGAGACAAGATAAAGCATTTGTGAGAGCGGTTGCTAAGTGTAACTGGTACTTTGGCTTTCTGAATGGGGGTTTCTTGCATAAAGCTGAGGTAACGTACCTGGAATTGGTGCGTGGGACACGCTGGATGCAGGCCATGCTGTTGGGATGCTGTGTGATGAAGACGGCATATCGTAGGGCAGCGGATGGGAGGTGGTTTGATGGGAATACAACGGACTTGCAGGAGTTGGCACATGACGGGAGGCAGGAAATTCGCCGCAGCAGGAGCAATCTGCCGCCTGCCTGCCGTCCTGGCCGTGGCCTCGGTGTCCGGGAAGGCAAGTCGTGCCGTCAATCAAGGCAGACGGTGAGCTGGGAAGGGGCATCCGGCTACCCACACACCAACGGCGCACCCGCGCCGTCCTTGAACGGAGCTTGACCGATGCTGTTTCCCCGCAAGTGCCATAGGTATGCTGTGTTCCGCAGTGGCTGCGATGCCGCATGCCGGTACCCGTGGTCGACTATTTCTGGGCAGGGGTTGTGGGTGCCATCTTGGATGTTCCTAATGCTCCTATCGTTGGTGCCACAAATGCGGTGTCTCGGGAGGGCCTACATCCGGCTCGACATTCGACGCTCGTGTAAGTCGTTGGTTTTCTTATTCCCTTGATGTTACTTGCTCTATACTGTTCATTGCCTAGCGACGAATCTCCGGACCCAAGTGTTGCTGCTCGGCATGTGGAAGTAGACAGTTCTCGAGTGATGCCCTGTTGTCGGAGAGGTACTTTGCGTGCCCTACGTCAAAAGACCAGGTGGAAGTAAATAACATTGAAAGCCTGGTGAGTAATGGAATTACGTTTGATGTGTGATGAGCAAATCGTCAGTGACGCAAGAGACAATACGTTCAAACCAACTAGACTAGTCGAGAGAATGTTGCGCCCTCCTGCCTCCTGCAAGCACCACTTGAAACATAGCAAGTGTCACGCTTCGTGTTCTTTCCCATCGATCAGTATGAGGTGGAATTACAAGAATTGCAAGATCAGCTCAGGCCGGTCCGCGGTGTTCAGTCGGAGCAGGCAGACAGCTCATTTAGCAAGAGCGGCCTTTCTACCATATAGAAGGTCCTGGATTGTCCGATGGAGAGTTGGGTCAGGCTTCCTTCATATTGGTGTTTCTTTGACACCTCATGAGCCAGCGTTGGTTCAGGTCTACAGAGAATAGGAGCAAGAGTGAAAGGCTTACCGTCAATTGAAGAGTGACTTATCCATCAAAAGCTTACGGGCAAAGCTGGACAACTAAGTCAAGTAGCGCCCATTGTAATCTGCTTATATGTCTTCGCATTCACGCAACATCTACTGATCTGCTACAAGAATGCGACTGCTATGACATAGGTACTTCAATTTCGTCGCCCAGTATCTGTGTATCAATCAGATCATATGTATGCAACATCATGGCTGATACCATGGCACTGCCTGCAGGTGTCTAGGTCAGTCACTAAGCCTATCCTCGGAATGCAGGTTGTGACGAACTTCTTGACACAAACCCTCCCTTATGGTAAAACCTCAATGAGAGAATTCCACGCTTTGGAGAATTTCTGACCCTTGTTATGATTGCTGGGAGTTTCTGCGATTCAACGCCTCTGCGAATTGCTTACAAGTACTCACCAACCTAAACATAACGCCCTTGACGAGAAGTTGGAGTATCTTGAGCTGAAATGCTGGAGAGCCGCATGCCATACAGTGAGGGTACCAGAGCTAGTTCATTACTTAGATGGCGACTTAGACCATCGAAGCGAACCCATGTTCTTCAATAAAAGCACTCCATACTGCTCACTTAATTCAACTCGCGGAGTTGTAGAATCACGGACACCGAGTCAATCCACTCTGAGACATGCTCCAGTCTCGCTGTATATGTGCCATATCCCATCTCAATCTAAGAAACATCACATTCACGTGGTGTGGTAAACTGAGAGAGGCCGCATTCATCAGCATCTTGTCCGCTTCAAGCATGCCAGTCACCCCTCATACGACAGAAGATACGAGGCGGGCATTTTTGGGGCTCGCAAGAGAGAATTTTGTCTAGTTCTCAAAAATTTAAGTGAGTGGTGAGACCATGGTACCAGTGCCAATTTGAAATCCTCCTCTGTACACAGTATTGTCAGCTGACCGACTTATCAAGAAACTCAACTCCATCGACTTTCTCGGACAGATCCAGTCATCAGACCGGTTCACACTTGACTTACATCACTCTCTCAAACTTAGAAGCCCCCGGGAACATAGCAAACTTCATCACAGCTTGATGACCACAAAGATATTGTGTTCATTCCCTAGATATTGGGCGATAAGGACAATGCTTTATGTAAGGGGCGGGTGCCACACGTCGCTCGTGGAAGTGGACGGCCTCAAATATACAGGCCTCAGAGACTGAAATGAGCGTACCAGGCGAAAAGAGGCCGGTGGGATATCTGAGACTTTCTCTCTCCAGCATCCGTCACGTCTCAGGGTAAAATGAGAAGAAAACTCACTGTGGCACCTGTCGGAGATTTTCGGGTCTTGCTCACGAAGTTTCTTGGTCAACTCCAAGAACACACGTTTTCATATCTCAATCTTCTCAATTAAATGACTGCTGGAATTCCCAAAGGCATGTCTGTATCAGTCGATCAGTGCGGGCGTGAGGTATTAGTATGCATTTGATTTGTCGTCCTAAGCTTCGATCTGGCAATAATAAAAGCCTACCAATTTGCTGGTATCTCTCAAACTGCCACTGTTCGAGACTTACTATTCTCAACGCAGTTCGAGTAGGGCGGCAACAAGCTGCATCACCATCATCAAGTACTCAACCCGGTACAGTGGCCACGTCTGCGTAGAGCGGCTATCATTTGCTTCTCACAGAAATGAGGACTGGGCTGCCATGTCCAGGCGCGGGTCTACATTCTAAAGGGACCGAGTGTGTTCTGGGGATGGTGTAGGGTCTCCATTACCAGAGCTAAGGTCTAGGAGCAGATTTGCAATGGTAACTAACAGCTCACAATCCCCCGTCTTCAGTGTTTGATACATGATGAATACTCCCTTAGCAGTGAGAGTGGAAGCTAAGTAGCGTTGAATCTAGGTCTCTTTCCTCTTAGCTCGTATTATCCGCGGGAAGGATACTTCAGAGCTGTGCTTGTCCAGCCTCGAGGACGCGTCGTACAAGACTGCCCGTAGAAGTGTGCTCGTGGCAATACTCGATTCCGTAACTACACTCGCCTCCCGTACTATTAGAACGGTGCCTGCGCTGAGTGTGTGTGGTAGTCCTATGGTGCCCGATGCGCTTATTCTATACGTGGCTCGTATGATGCTGCGGACAACAACAATGGTGGTAGTGGTGGAAGTGGTCGTCGTGCGGTTGAGGCATCCTATTGTCCTAGTAAACTTGATATGTAGGGCTGACGATGAAGTTTGGGGCGGTATAGCCAAAATACAAATTCATACCGAGATCTCAGCCTAGAAGTACCTGAGAGGGCAGACATGTTGCCGTGAAGACCAAGACAATCCTGATAGGAGGCTCTGCCTCTTATACCGAGTAGCCTACTCCCCACTCAGGATATTTAGAAAACCGAATTAATTACCCCGGCGGTTTTAAACCTGGTGAGAACACCATCAAGAGACGAATCAGAGACGGACGAGACCCACGATGTGACATCAATTGATGGGACAGTCATACCACCCACTTGTCATGGTTCATTATCACATATAAAGAAGCTGGAAACTAAGGTCGACCAGATCATACCAAGCCGCCGGTGGAAAAATATCAATCCTCTAAACAGGCCGACACCTATCCTTCATGTTAATGATGCACATCATCAACCCAGTGCAGAGAACTTGAAGAGCCCAGAGCAGATCGTAGATCTTCAACCAAAACTTTCCGTACGGCTCGCTACATCGTAACGACGACGAAGTGAGACGTCGCACTCATCACAAAAAGGAGGCTACAACGGCCCAGGAGAGGCCACAGGCAGCTCACGACACTTACAGAAGGATCGAAGTAGACAGGATATAGGAAAAGCAGCCGGTCCATAGAAACAGCGAGATCGACGGACGTACCTCCCGCCGAAGCTCTCCGTAGTGAGATACTAGCCATTACGGCCATGAGGATTCTATCGTGGTACACCGCTATGCTACGAAGATAGTCTGGCCAAACCGAATAGATCTATCTCGGTACGGCAGGCCGATAGCTTTCACTTGTCTTCCTATCCAGTTTAATATTGACCGAATACTCCAGGCGAGAGGAAGACAGCCGGGGGGTCAGGTTTAAGGCACATAATGCACAACATGAGTCTGCGAGGCACACGATAACGCTTGACAGGTAACCAAACATGCCAGCACTGGAACATGTTGGGTATTGGAGCTTCTGGACTCAGGGCTTGCTCTGGGCAGGTCTCTTGGCCGATTCAAGTGCCTTAGATAGGGGTACATTGGCAACAGACAGGTAAGACGAAGCAAGGTGCATAGCTCCTTCCAGTCATGAGGCAGCAGGAAATTTTAGGACCAAGTCGCCATTATCAGGCTCTTCGTGATGTGAATGAAGCCAAGAGGCTGTAAGACCCAGAGTACTCAGCCTACGAGCGAGGAACTGCCATGGGAGCGCTGTAGACCGACGATATCAAAGAGACCTCCTGGTAGGCTACAACATACAGAAGTTTGATATCTTCCCAGACCTCTGAGACTACGCCGTACTACCTCACCCACGCGTGTTCCTACTCCTATGGCATTTGAATACTCTGCTTCTGACTCTTTGGTCGCTAACTCGGGAGCAGAACTCCCCCTTGATCCCTGGCCAAGACGTGGGGGAAAAAATCGTGTTCAGAATGGGCGAGTTCAGGTACGTTGATAAGGGATAGAACTAAGTCAGGCCTCATCGACAGTATCGGCATACACGTAGGGTGACAACTCTCCCTCTCATTGAATCGTACATCTCTATCCTACCAGAATTCGGCTGTAGGAAAGAGCCAGGAGTATCTTAGTACCGCGATTTTGTCCCCCAATAGACATCCATCCAAATGCAAGCTGAAAATAGCCATCTTCGACACATTAGAGACCCTGGTGACCAACGGACACGGCATACCATGATCCGGACAAAGCTACACAGAGGAGGCAGCCCGGCATGCACAACCGACAAAGAAAGCACCAACTCCCATGCATCCCTCCCTCGTCTAGAGTAGACTCAGGTCTAGCTGTAACTCCCATTCGAGGATCTCACCATGAGGTAATCAACGGCCTCACCAAGTCTATCGATTCTCAAATTCTCGAAGCATGTTCCTGATCCTCTCCGAAGTGATACTCCATACCGCGAACCACGAACACCAGCGTCAGTAGCCCCCGCAAAGCCACGGACTGCTCTTTAAAACCCCCCAAGTTTCCGCACCGAGACTTAGTGACAATGCGCGCGTCATGCGTGGCTCAGTCTTTTCAAGCAACTATCGCCACATCCATGCTCAAGGTTGACGTCCAGGACGGCAACGATGAAGACAGCCTTCAGAAACACGCCTAGTCGAGCTCGTTTTTTACCATCCAATCCGTTCTGTTGTAATTATCGCCCAGCGTAGTCAGATCAGCGAAAAGTGCGCAAGTCTCTCGGTCACAATGATCCCCTTTCTCCAGACCATGCATTTATCCTAGCTTCTTTCACAACATTCATCTCTACATGGCCACATCCATATCACAAACGATGAACTAAGACAGAAAGACTTGACGGTAGTACGAGCCTCGTCTTCAAAGGTTAAACAAGTCGGCGCAACTTTACCGTGAACTAACGGAGTGGAAACCGAATCTTACATGCCTCGAGCTGCCCATATCCATGACTGACTAGAACTACGCAAAAAAAGGGTTACTTCCCGAAACAAAATCAAAACCTATCCCATAGTAGAACCTGACCACACTTCACACTTTATACAGAACTTCACATGTCCGATACCGCTCAAGTATCCCCAAAGCTTCTCGGAAATACCGACCTTCAAACGCCGACCAAGCAGAATGGAGCGACCAGGTCGCAACTCTCGCAGCTACAAACCAACTCGCGGAGACATATTCTTCAAGACAAAGTCACGAACAGCATCGCTACCAAGCACAAGTTCGATGGAGAGTATGCGGCTCTTAACGATACGCAGATATCCATCGTTGAGCCAAAGCAGACTCGCAATCAAGCATCTGCATACCTCTGCTCTCTCACCTCTAACATGAAGAGGACTTCTCAAAAGACCAAGGTATAATGCGAGCCCAGACAATCCCACTTAACTCCAGACACGTCAATTCAAGTGTCCCAAGACGTAAAACAAAATAATACGAACAATACCCATTCATAGTTCACGTCTTCGCATCGTCGATTAGAGGCCACAAAGGGAGTAGATACCCCCCTACCAAAATGTTGACTTCCCAAGAGGCAGGTAGACATCCCACAGAGGGGGAGTAAACACACCATCACCGAACCAACTCATCCTCTCAGCATGCAACCAATAACTCACCGCCTTCCTCTCAAAAGGGGCCAACACCAATACCTCAAGCACAAACCGCGCCGTCACCATCTTACTCTCCCCTCCCGTCGCTTAGCTAACATTGCTGCCCGAAGGAACCCTCACCTCCAGAAACCGATCAGAGTCACTGAATTCAGGCTCACTAACTAGAACCTCTACGGCATAGCAAAGGCTGGTCGACAGCAAGGTCAAAAACATGAGCTGGCGGAAAGCGGGGTACCCACGATGCAGGTCTGGAACCGCAGGCCAGTTTCTAGAGAGGAGGTTGGTTGAGGGGCTAGGATGTCAGATAAGTCGGTGAAGCAAAAGTAGAGAAATCTGTCTGTCGACTTTTTCTCCCCTCGCCAACCCTTCAACCCCACTACGATCGCTTTTTGGTCTGTACGAATAAAGACCGTTGCGATTTGGGCAGCAGCAGAAGAACCTAAAAGCCCAGCGCCAGAATCAGTGCATAGGCGAAGTTGCCCGGCCAGTCGTTTGGCCCTGCGTTAGTGCCGTGTGAATATGCAATGCCATGGGTCACGATATCCGACGGGTCTCTAAGAAATCCCACCTAAAAACCTTCGAGGTTGGGATGGCAAAGTAGCGCTGGACAAAAATCTCATCAAGGCAATCCATGGACACGAAGGAGCATCGCTCGCGGTATTCTCTCTGTCAACAGGCATTGGTGACGTCAACCGGGCAGTTAACGGCGGTATTCTGAAAACGAAGTGTTACCAGCACCACACATGTGGCTTGGCCGACGAATAACATTTACGCCGAGCGAGGAAATAGAGGAGGCTCCTAGAATCGAACGAGCAGGGCTTGATAAGCCAGGGCTGAGATGCGTCTGTAGTCAAAAAGTTTCTGTCCAAGCAGTCTCACCGAGTATGACGCGAGCAATACAGGGGTGGGGGGCTTCGACACCAGTTTTCTTGTCTCCTGAGAGCCAGGCACGCCAGAGCACGACGGCGCCGCAGCAAACGTTCTAGGTGGGCTCTAGAAGGGGACCACATCTCGCAGATCCTGTTCCATCAGATCAGTCTCTGACAAGGCAATAGTGGGACGCGAAATGCCACCGGATTGAGGAAAATAGGGCCGACAGACTGCCGTGGTTGCCGAGGCGTCCTGCGGCCTGCGTTCCGGAGCAGAGACACAGAGATAGGGACCGGCGACGGTTCGGGGCCCAGAATTCGGGGTTGAAAGCCCGGAGGCGTCCCGTGACGAAGAGCGGGAGTCACCGGACTTAACGAGTCAGGACGCCGCAAGTGAGGCAACTGTGATGACATGCTGATCCACAGCCCTGGTTTTTTCTCTTGCAGATGAGAATCAGTTCCTCTCTGGTGAGGATTATTTCTGTCGCCTCCGCGCCACTTGGTCTTGAATTATTCGTCCATAGCCTGCGTGGCTGGAGCTCGGGGCCAAGTACCGAAGAAAGTGCTTCAAAGGATGGGCCATGTCCACCCGAGGTTAGTCAGCCAGTCAGCCAGCGACCAATTGGCAGGCATGGAGTGTGATCAAGCAAAGTATCTTGTTGCAAACTAAGCCTCAAGGCAAAAAATAGCGACGTGATGACAGGGCATGGGACGATTGCGACGTCAAGCAGCCGGGAGACCGCGCTGGAATTAGATTGATGCTTGAAACCGGAGCTTCCATTCTTTTCTTCAACAAAACGGGTACCGCGGAACGACCTGACTAGAGCATCTACAACGGAAACCTGTTAAGCTGGCGTGGCTGGTTTGCTGTCTTCTGAATACGTTGTAGAGGTGGGCACAAAAACGGTGGATCGTGTAATTCGGAAAAGGCCCGATCGATTGAGCGAGGGAAAATGTTCCGAGAGACGCATCGATTGGCCCGTCAGCGGTGTGGTCCTGGACTGGAACCTGACCGAGAATAAGCTCTCGACCGTCAAAGGGCTTACACCGCCCCCAATCGTCTCAGGTCCTCAGCAGTCAAGCCCAACTGGCCAAGAGGCACCGGTGACAGCTGACAGCGCCAGGAAATAATGTGGTTCCTGCACTCCGATCCAGATCCGGCGGCGTTGACGAGCGGTGGGAGTGGCAGGCGCGGGCTGATAATTTAGGCACAAGAGCGAAGGCTGGCCAACGCGGCGGTTGGGTGTCACCGATGTTGGGACCTGCAGCCATCGCCTACGGTCCGCCGCATTGTACAGATATGGGCTGCGGGTTCCTTTCAGATATTCTGGAACGAAACGTGAGGTGGTATCCATAGATCTGTTACGGAGTACTGTAGGGAGGATCCGTCGACGGGCCATTACACGGTAGACATCGATGTAGGGCGTGGATTATACGGCAGAGGTGCCGTTCCCGATCCCGTTGCCGTTCCCGCTGCCGTCCGTTTCGTCGCAAGTCTCGAGCAAGCGATCCGGGTTCAAGTGCAACACAAGGCCGCAAGATCTCAGAGTGCATTTGCAATGCGTGGGAGGTCGTTTGCTGGCTTTTGTGAGTCATGGTATGAAAGCTGAGCGAGAACCGCAAGCAGAACAAGCTCTCAGGTTTCCCCTTGCTGCTTGCATCTGCGTGTCACTGTGAGTGCTGTCAGTCTCCACTATGCTGTTACTGTACAAGGTAGCTTTCGCAAGCCGCGACTGCAGTGCCAACTCAGCAATACCAGGCTCCTTTGCCACGGGCTACGTTTTCTCGTCGGTTCGCCTGTTGTTTTCTCGCATCTCCAGAATAGCGGCAAAGCATTGTATGGGTACTGGACAGTGCCATATGGACCTTGAGCGAGCGGTCTTGACGAGCCTGGACCCCGGGACCTTTGAGTGAAACTGAGGGTGTCGCCCGGTGCTGCGTGCGTGGCTCCCGTTCCCTTTGTCGCGGCCAGACACGGCCGGGTAGACGGGGAAGATGGCCCGTAGTATCGGTATGGGATTAGCGAGTTTTCCGTATTCCTGAGAATTGTCTAGCCAGAACCACGTTGGGATTAGCCCTGGAGGAGCTGGGGAGCTGGAGTCAGCACAGGGCGAGAGGGTCAATGTTTGTCCTTGAAGATGTTGTATCCGCAGGCGAGTGTTTGCGTGTGGTCAAGATGGTTTGCGAGGTGTCTGGCATGAGATGAAGGAGAGATACGTGTCCTGGCTGTCCTTAGCTAAGATACGGTAACGAGGAATGGTCGCGCTGTTGCCCAGTAAAGAGAGAAATCACCTGTGAAGATACAAGTCAGAAGTTGCTCTCCGAGTCTGTCAATCTTTCCGTTCACTCTTTGAACTAGGAATATCACATACTTCCAACGATGGACAGGCACGACCCTCCGCCCCTCACCCCCTCTGTGGGCAAGTTGAATAAGGCCGATCCAATAGGAAGTGATCCAATAATTGCAAACCAAAAAGACGGGTCGGCATCTTATCGCCCCGGACTAACGTCTCGACGGGACAGAAAAGGTACGTATAAGTACGTATCTCGATCATCCATCAGGGCAGAGAGCGGCAGCAGGAGCGCCAGGAACGGTTCCGCGTCTCTGGCACGATGGTCATTCAGGGAGGGCAGGCATCTCATAGGTCAGGATCTCCGAATACGTACTCTCTTCCTCCTCCTTGCCTCGCTGTATCGCCGTAGGTATCTTTGTGACCTCGATGAGTGTTGAGATGCTGCGGGACAA